CAGCATTTGACCTTTCTTCTGTTCTGGCCTGCCTGCGCTCCAGGTCTGTGACCTGTTGACCATCACTGTTGCATCAAAATGTACAAGGAGTTCAGGTTTGGATGAAGAATGATTTTCAGATTTGAAGATTCCTCAGACAAAACACCATTAAAAAAACTGGAAATTAATTTTATTATTATTTAAATAAACCTTTTTTTTTAAAAAAAAAGTTGTAATGTAAAAACAAAACCTAATTTAAATCTGCCTATTTCCATATCCCCATGTTGTTAGTTTGTTATCCTTCAATTAAACTATTTTTATGTTATATATCTCAACATTCTTTGAGTTAAGATTTGATTTTTTTACATGGATTTATTTGTGTATATTTTTAATAGACTCATTTTCAGATGTAGATTTTTACATTTCCTTTAAAAGTAAAAACATTTTCTACGGTTATTTAAACTCTGTCACTCAATGTTTTTGAAACAAACAAAAAATTCCCACAGTCATAACTATAACTGAATTAATTAGTTTTCTTGTTTCTTTTTCTTGCAGATGAGCCTGAAACAGTGGAAAAAACTCAGTCGGCCTCAGTCGTGTCTAGACAACAGGAAATGCAAAATTGCATTTGTTTACAGCCACATGCTGCTGAAGGCAGTTGGTGGTGGTTCAGCGGCAGCAGCAGCAGTGAGGAGGGCGGATGTTTCTGCCTGTGAGGCTCAGCCCGGTATGTGCCGTAAAACTGTTGTTTAAAAGACCAAACCTTTTTTTTAAATTTTTTTTTTGTTTTTGTTTTTTGTTTTCGGGCCTCCCTCTCTCCTCCTCCTTCATGTCTCCTCCCCTCGTCGTTCTCCCTTCTCTCCATGAATGAAGCTGTTTGACTCACCATTTTGTGACACAGTTTCACAGTTGCATTGTGACTTAAAAGATTTCTATATTTATATATATATAAAAATGTTGTCCCTGAAAACAAAATAAATGCTGAAAGAAAATTGACAAAAATTGGAAAAAAATAGATTACCAAAAATGTCTTTGTCTCTAAAAGTACATCTAAATTAACTAAAATTTGCTATAAATAAGTTTATAGTTTATAACGAGTAAGTAAAAGAAGAAATTCACGCAAAAAAAAAATCTTCATATTCAAAACTTCTATATTAGCTTAGTTTTTCATCCACCAGAAACAGATTTTGAAATACTTAGGGATAAAAAAAAATAGCGAAATGTTTCCCAAAACATAAAGAAACTTCAGAGAATGTTAGCACAAGCTAAAAAAGGAGAGGTAAAACTTAAAATAAAAGTTACAGTCTCTGTGTTTAGTTTTCAAAACAGCTAAAATGACATCAAAGACGGTTAAACCAAAGGTCGAAACTTCAGACTAAAAAGTTTCAAAGTCAGTTTTACAAATAAATATACAAACAAAGTAGATAATGATTAGGCCAGACTGATTAGAGATATATTTACAAATAAAAAGTCATCCTTAATAATAACCTTACGTAGAGTTAGCCTAGCATTTAGCATTCAATAAAAATAGAAAAATCATTCACACCTTTCACTCCACTAAACAGATGAATATTTTATCAGCAGCCTCCAGTCAGTAGGTGTCAGCAGTGTCATAATACCCACGGCTCCGCGGCCGCCGGACCAGACATAATACAAACACAACAGTGAGGACAGATTTTTGACAGCTGTCCCACCGTCTGTCCGTCAAACTATTGATCATCCTTCAGCGGGAGGTCATAAAAGAGCCACGCTCCTGGGGTTGAAAAACATAATTCTAACATCTGACCTGTCACTGCAGGGGTTCATCAAATAAACCAACCTCCGGTTCTGGGTTCAGCCTGGGTCTGAAATCGTCCGTATCCGGAACAGAGTTTTGACGGCGTTATTTAGACAAAGTCCACCTCAGAGGGAGGACAGCTGGTCAGAGGACTGGGTCTGTGTCAGTACTGGGTCTGGTTTAAGACCACTGACCTGTGTCTGTGAGTGAGTGTGGTGGTCACTGTGGAAAAAGACCTGGACCGCAGGCAGGACGGTGACCAACCCCGCTGTACAGATGGAGGTGTTAGATTAAAGAGAGAAACTCTAAATGTACTGATTTAAAAAAAAAAAAAAAACTAAGTGAAATGTTATTTTCCTGATAGAACAGGGATGTCAAATGTACGGCCGTGAAATTGTATTTACTTATAGAACAGGGATGTCAAATGTACGGCCCACGGGCCAAAAATCAGTCCACTAGGTGGTTCAATACAGTCCAGTAAATAGATTTTAACATAAAAAAACCCCATCACCAACACCTGTTCATGATGTTTTTAAAAAAATTATATTTCATTAAATAAAGGGAAAACTCATGGACTTATAGTTATTTATAGGTAATTATATTATGATTAAATTACAAAAAAAATCTAAACAAGTTGTTCAATCTAATAAAACAATAATTAACAACAATTATAGATAAAGTGTTTAAAAATTATAATTATTGCTGAAATTGGAAAAAGATAATACTTAAAACTAAATGAACCATCTTAAAATTCTTTTATTATTGTCATCAAAACGTCAACTTTTGGTTTCTAACCAGGTCGTTAATTTCAGATGAACAGAATGTTTTGGATCTGACTTTTATTTCACCAGGGTTTTAACCTAAAGACATGTAAACGCTCCTTCTTCACTGGGTTCATTTGTCAGCGCTGCGATCAAATCCTGTTTTTTTTTTTTTTTTTTTTTGCAGAGACAAAGAGCTACCTGTGGTCACGCTGCTGTGAATGTGAAAAGACTTTTCACTTTGATCAGAGCCGTTCCATTCACATTCAACATTCACAGAAGTTTCTGGTAATTGTTTCTGATAGAAGAGGAAGAAAAAGTAGAAGACAAAGGGAGAGAAAAAGGAGCTCCTGCTGCTGCATTCAACACCAGCGCCGCTGTGTTTTATACCAACCTGAGTCTGAAGACGTCAGTCCTGCTGTAAGTAATCAGTGTCTGTTTAATTACAGCCACAGATGGGATTCAGTCCTGAGAGGTTTTTACTGTTTCTGCTCACCCACTGTAAATCAGTGTTTAACCAACAGGGACGGAGCATCAGAAAATCAGAAACAACAAAGTTTACACCGATAAAAGTACGAGGACAAACGTCTAAAGATCGCAAAATAATTCAATTGTATCAAAAACGGTAACTCAGATGTCGCTAAGAAAAAAGGCTGAATTTTAGCCAATTATTTTTCAACGTTTATCACAGGACATACCTGCAAAATTCAGGATAAAAAAAATTGATTTTAAACCTGAAAATCAGTTTTGAAATATTCCCCAGTGGAATAAACAACGACCACAGGCTGCAAAATAAACCATCAATTCTAAAAGTGTGGCCAAAAAAAAAGACAGGAATTTACATAAAATTACATAAACTTTAAATTTATCTCTAAATAATTTCACATCTGCCCAAAAATAGCTAATGGTTAGCCAGCAGGAGCTACGTGAGATATGTTTATGTCAATAGAACAAATTTTGTCTAATAATTATTCCAGTTTCCAAGTTATTTAACCTGAAAATAAGGCAGAGTGGAGAAGAAATAATTCAGATAAAGATAAAACTGCAAAGAAATAAGTGAAATCTGCCCAATAAAAAAAATTTATTTCACATCAAACACAGGCTAAAAGTAGCTAGGTGGCTACAACTTAGCCAAAAGTTCATTTAGAAGTGTAATGACTTCATTTAAATAACAAAAAAAAAAACAAAAGTTTGAAAAATAAACTTAAAGCTAGTCTGTTAGCACGTAACGGCTAACGAAAATGCTACAAAAGCGGGGTCAGTGAAAACCAAACGAGGTTTGACTTTAACGATGAGCTAACGTTAGCAGAAACATACCAGGTGTCAGATAAATGGCTAACGGTTTTACACCAAATATCAAAAACACGACTTTTAGGCCTGAATATTACAGTTCTGAGGAGACGTTTCTGGGCCTGAGTCCAGTCTGTTTCACAGCGTGTGAAGCATGAGTGATGATCTCACTTACTCACGTGTGTGTGTGTGTGTGTGTGTGTGTGTGTGGGGTCGCAGATCCCTGTGAGAGTGTGAAGTTCAAACTCACAACCAGCAGCGCTGCAAACATCATCAGTGGAGATGTCGTCTGTGGCCCGGGTTTAAGAAAATAAAATTAAAATAACACGGCAGACGTCGGCCTCCCGCTGCACACAGAGAGAAAAGGAGAGAAGGAGAGGAGAGGAGAGGAGAGGAGAGGAGAGGAGAGGAGAGGAGAGGAGGCCGCAGTGATTTTTATGTGAATGTTGACTAAGAATGGTCTCCATCTGTGTAAACCCACTCCAGCAGGGACTTCCTGTGAGTCACCCGTCTGCAGCCTGGAGCGAATCACAGATATTTATCATGCAAGATGGCACACATTCCCAGGCTTACAGTCCGACTGCTGCTGCTGCTGCTGCTGCTGCTGCTGCCGCTGCCGGTGGTGGCGCCTGCTGTGGCGGCTGCGGCTGCGTGGTCCAAACTCAGGCCTGCAGGAGAGGAAAGGCCAGGCCTTCACCCAGAAACATGAACCACGGTTCAAGACTCTTTAGGTGAGATTATTGAGCTTCTTTATTTCCACCTTAAAGTCAGATTTTACTCCAGAGAGATTACTGAGGTTTTTGACTCTTTATCCCCCCCTACCTTCCATGATTATTGAACTTTATTGAGGGTTCTTTATGTCACTGTGACGACGGAACATTGTACGAAACATTCAAGTGTAATTCTTCCACGGCAAAAAGTCATTAATTGTAATAATTGTAAAACGATGCCATGCTCAAGAGAAGAGAACATTAATATGATTTTTTTTTAAATTTTTTTTCTAAATGAAAAGAGAAAAGAGGATTAGATACAAAAATAATACACAGCAAAAAAGTAAGTTTTAGAAGTAGTACATTTCTCATACGTATTTCACATATATCTTTTATATTTAACTAATTTTTATTTTTTTATCAATCGTCAGCTGAAGGAACTGATGTCATAACACTTCATGACCATTAAGAAATCATAATCAAATACGTAATAAATGTAATTAATCACATTAATTTAAAGTATTTCACATATATCTTAAAATTTAACTATTTTTTCTTTATCAATTATCAGCTGAAGGAACTAATGTCACAACACTTCATGACCATGAAAAATCATAATCAAATACATGATTCTAAAATGATATGAATCCCATCAGATCTTCGCTAATAATAAATGTAATTAATCACATTAATTTCGAGTTGTCCCTCGTTGTCAGAGTCTGACACTGACCGGGGACGATAACATCTGTCTTGGAACTTTTCGACCCACCCTCATCCAGCTCCGCTCCCTCACTTGATTTCCCTCCATTTCTCCTCCACCTCAGCCAATTTCCTCCTCTTTGATCCCAGCACATCGGTATCATCGGCTTCTCCTCGTTTGCGGCTCCGCCGCTGTCAAAGCCGACACCCGGGACGTCATGTGAAACCATGAAGGACAGGAGGCAATAAGGCAGAGAATAGCAGCAATCTTCTGGAAAGTTCTCCATTGACTGCGAGCGCCGCTCCCCTCTGTCCTCTCCTCCAGCCGCCGCAGATAAAGCAGGAGAAAATCAATAGAGAAACACAGAGTTAGATAAAGGCAGAGAAGGAGCCGGGCCGCTGAATTAAAGCCATCAGAAACGTCCTGCTCCTCTCCGTCCTGGCTCTACATAAGTGAGCGTCCCTCTGTCTCCCTGCTGTCTCCCTGCTGTCCATCACTCCCCCCTGGACTCTCCGCTCCTTTGTGCTCCTTTCATTTTCCCTCTGCTCCTTATTCCCTGTTTGCTTTGTGTTGTGGTGATGAAGGAGCCGCGGACAATCGGCCGACCAATAACTGCTGACCGGTGAGTTTGGACATTGCACGGTGTCCACGTCAAACCGGGACAATCGGCGTGTCCTTCAGAGGGACGGGACATGGTTCTGTCTCGTCTTCTGTCCATAACAATCTTGGCATTGACCCGTCCACACAGGTGTCTAGAACCAGAGGTTGAAAACCCCGAGTCACCAGACCTGGGTTTGAAGACGACTCGTGTCTTTTACCCTTTCACAAAACTGGGACTCCACCACAGATGTTGTGACTTCACTGCAGCGCCCTCTACCAGTTTTTTTTTTCTTACGTCTTGTTTTAGCTTAATGAATTGGTTCAACCCAGATGTGGGCCACATCTGTCAGTACTTAAAGACATCTGGCCCAGATTACCATGTGCCAACGCCAAATGGCAACGTGGACCAAAAATACATTCAACATTTGGTGGAATTTTCCGGAAAATACACAGCGATTTTGGCTCATTTTTATTCTACACCACATGGGCTTTGTTGCAGATCCAAACCACTACTGTACTTTAGGGTTTATTTTCCTCTAAATGGGATTTTGTCATTTAGAAAATGACTGCATTTGTACTGGAAAAAAAAAAAACTAGTTTAGTCCAGTTCTTGGTCTCTTCGTTTGGGGGACTGGACCCCGCCCCTTATTTTATATATGAGAGAGTGGAGCTAAAACTGAGAAATGTGACTCTTGTCTCACCTGTGTCCACTCTGTGTGTCCCCCCCCTTCCTCCCTCACCCCTCCTCTCCTTCCCTCACCTCCTCAGGTACCAGATCACGCCGTCATCTGAAGATCCGGTGCAGATACCACCCCCCCCTTCTCCGATCCTCTGCAGGACGTATTTCAAACAGGAGACCCGGCTCATATTTCACAGTTCCAGGTGCGCGGTGCTGTCATGTATTAATTAGAATCCAAATACCCCGTATTGATTGTGTTATCAGGCGGCTGCAGCCCCGGCCGCGGGCATCGATCCGCGCCGTGATTTATTGTTATTTACACAAGAAAAAAAAGAGAAAAAATCCTTTTGTGTGATTATATGAGGAAACACAGGCTGAGTGAGTGTAATTCTTTCACATCTCGTCTTCGCCTCACCGCCGCCTCCGTCAGCGCAGGCCCAAATAAAGTGCAACCCGTGAAACGCCCTCAGAGGGCAGATTTTTCCAGCTAAGAAATTGTTATGAAGCCAGGCTCGGCTTTGAGGAGTAAATCAGAGGAGGGAGCAGGAGGCGGCCAGGTATGACTGATGGGGGTTTTCAACCCTCAGCGTCCGGCTGTTGGACTCCTCTGGCTGTAAATTACCAACACAACTGTTAAATGTTTCCCTTTGTGCCTTAAAGTCGGCTCTGACATGAATCATAGGAGGCTGAAAAAATGTGACGTCCCTTCAGCCTGATTTTTAAAAAAAAAAAAGAAAGAAAAATTTGCGACGTCCCTTCAGCCTGATTTTAAAAAAAAAAGAAAAATTACGTTTTATACATTTTACAAAGACAAAAAAAAAACTTTTAGCACCGTGGCTAGGAGTTGGATTTCTTCTTTTATTCCATTCCATTTTTAATTATACAATTTGTTGCAAGAACCTCAAATGTGACAGAATTAAAGACGGGGTAGGAAAGTTTTCTGACCGACACCCTCCAGTGTAGAAACGCTATTACTACAGTATTTTATGACATATTTCAATATTTTTTCTAAGTTAATATTTTCTAATTGTTAAGAATCGCCCCAACTATGGCTAAAATTGTTATGTTAACTGTGTATTTTATTCAGAAATTCAGAAAACATACAGTATTAAAAACTTTTTTTTTTTTTTTTCAGTACACCTTTTGGTTTGGATCCTGGAATTTGCGGCAAAATGAACGTACAACGTTTTGGTCCAAGTATTCTCAGATGACCACAGACTGGGCCGCTTTGAGGTTCTACGTGGGCTGCATGTGGGCCGTGGGCCGCTTGATCTGGTCTACTTAATGATCTACAGGTAATTTTTTTTCTCATGTATTGAGTCACTTCATACCATACACATAATAACCTCTGGAGGGCCACATTCAATTATGTAATGGGCCACATTTGGCCCCGCGGACCTCGAGTTTGACACATTGACTAAAATCGGCCCAGTTTGGACCGCACTCCGCCCAGTAATGAAATTCAAGTGGTGCTTTAGTCGGCGTCGGTGTGGGCCACGTTAGGATCTGGAAGAGATCATGGTCAAGTAGTCGCTGGTTTGATTTTGTGCGCTGGTTACAAAGAATCAATATCGAATCAAGAGGTGGGGGGGGGGGGGGGTTGCGGGGTGGTGTTGAGTTTCCAGATAAGCAGCGGTGGCCACTCTGGCTATTCATCATAAGTGTGTGGAAACCCGATAGGTCAGGAGAAATTATATTCCAGCCGGAGCGGACTCCCCTTATCTCCCCCTGGCAGAGGAGTCGGAGACACGCGGATCAATAGCCGGCTGTTGTGTAGTACCTGCAATTATCAACAGCTGATTCTCTGCAGCTGCATCTTCTAATAACACATAATCACACCTCCTGGAACCCAGCCTGGAACTGGGCCTGGAACTGGGCCTGGAACAGGATTACAGCTTAAGGCAGAGTACAGTTGTCGCTTGTTTTTGTTTGTTTACTGAGGGAAAAAAAACAGAGAAAATCATTCAGGTATTGTACTGAGAGGTTTGAAGTATAAAGTACTGCTGTCAGTCAAGTACAATATTTAATCTAATTAATCATTGACGCGGTAAAACAATTAAAATAATTAAATAATTGCAATTTATCATGATTAATTGAATATAAAAATTCCTATATCTTTAAACAATTTTTGAAACTTTTTGTTTGTATTTCTTTTTTTTTCAGCAAGAAATCCTCGTGGAAAAAGTCAGGGAAAATGTCGCTGCTCAAAGTCCGAAGGCGGGAAAAGCTGCTGAATGTCCATGAACTCCAGGACATGAGGACAAACTGGAGGTATTTGGTAAATTCATTTTTCTGTTCGTAATGTAAACGTACACCTGCTGTACAGACGGAGTACTGATCTGAAAAAGGTCACCGGGTCCCACTCTGACCTTTGACATTTGGATTTGATGACATCATTTTCTTCATTCAAAATTTAAATATTTTCGTGATTGAGAACAACAGTAACGAAACAAACAAATGATCTGACTTTGGTTTAAAAAAAAAAAATTGTAGCCTTAACTCCACGTCTGCCCTAAAAACTACAACCATGGAGGTGGAACCTTCCACAGAACCATCAGGTCCGTGACTGTCACTCTCTCCCTGGAGTTTTTCTTCTCCCACTCTTCTCTCCAAATGTTCCTCACGGCGCCCAGATAGTGGGAGGTGGTTAAGGGACTGAGCGGAGGCTCCAGCGCCTCCTGTGGGATCCTGGCAGCAGCCTATCGCAGCCGGGCTGAAGGGCACGGGATGATGGAGTGGAGGCGGAGGCAGAGAGAGGCAGAGAGGCAGAGAGAGGAGAGCCGGTGCAGAACCCAACAAACCCACAAGTGACAGTGCCAAGACCGGACCTGCGGTGACGACACGCGTGCGCCCTGTCGCTTTTGGGACGCGCAGAGTTCGGCTTTACGCACGAATTTAGTGGAATCTGGACTTTACGCACTTTTCTGACGAAGAGTCAAAGGATGTTACGAAGATCAGTGGCCGCTGCTGTTTTTTTTTTTGTTGGTTTCTGTGTCTAAAGTCCGGGAGTGAGGCGTGAACGAGGACACGGTTTTCATCCACGACGAGCGAGACAACTGTGGGGGAAACGAGTCACTTCTAGACGCGGGGAAACCTCGGGAGACCGAGATCCAGGAGGAGCTCACCGGAGTTCAGGGCACAGAGTGAAGCATGTCGGGACCGTGCGTAACAGCTGTGCGTAAAAGCTGCCGCTGAACCAAACAGGACTGGACAGGAAGTGGACTAACATTAAAAAAAAAATCAAAATCAAAATCTCTAAATTTCCATATCCAGTGTGAGTTGGCTGGAGTGCAGCCAATCAGCCGGCGGAGGGGCAGCGGGAGTCGTAAAAACATTATCCTCCCTCCATCATAATTAGCCTGACATGCGCAATCTGCACTCGGACATCAGCGCCGTCAGCAGCTGCAGCAGAAGCTCCGCGATTTCACCGAGTCTCCTGCCGGTGTAAGGATCCCGGATCCCGGTCCCTGGCTGTAGATGCTGCCGGCGGCGGTGGAGGAGGAGGAGAAGCGGCAGCAGCAGGAGGTGGAGGAGGAGGAGCAGTGAGTCACAGAGAGAGGGAGAGAGATAAAGGAGTAGAGGAGAAGATCCAACATGTCCCGGCGCAAACAAGCCAAACCTCAGCAGCTCCGGTCGGAGAGTGGAGTGGAGCGGAGACACGGTGGGTTTTTAACACGACCACTTCTTTAACTCACTGCTATTTATGGATCAAAACTGGCAAGAAAAGAAAAGTCAACTACTCAAGTTTTAAATTCTCTAAAATAAACTTAAAAAAAAAACTAAACTTGGAAGAAACTGTGGCTTCAGGAAAGAAAACAAACAAAAGTTAATGAAAACAAAATAAAATAAAATGACTTAAACTGGACGTATTTACCAGGAAACAACCACAGCTGCTTTATTCTAAGTTTATTTTAGTTCTTAACAGGATAAACTAGTAGATTAAAATGTTTAAAATTAAAGTTAAAAAAAAACTTGTTTTAAATAGAACTTTGCGATCAAAGGTTTTATGGTAAATATGATTAAAACATCAACTTAATGAATGTAAATAAATGAAGATTTGCTGCAGTTTTTTTCACTTCGTCTCTTTGTCGACGAGAGTGAAACAAACCTGTGAGAACACAAACACCACTTACGGAGCAGAACAATCAGATTTATGTCAGTCCAGTTGGAGGCTGATAACTTTTTACAGTTTACAGATTTCACTCAATGCATCAAACAGTTTAAAAGAGATTCATTTTTAGAAAAAAGTAGATTTTGGGTATAAAAAAATCCTAAAAATGTTTTTGGAAACAAGCTGCTTATGTAGAATAACTCCATGTAGTTGAAGGTTTAAAAAAATCTGAAAAATATTTTCGTAAACAAGTAACTTATGTAGAATAACTCCATGTAGTTGATGGTGTAACTGTAACGAACACCAATTCTTTGTGTTCGTTTGTAAACCCGGCGTCAGAGTCACTGCTGCAGAGACGACGACGACGTTGTTTCACTGCTTCACCTCCGCAGCTGTAGAACAAACTGTGAAAAACAGTCAGAACAACAAACCAAACGACCTCAGTTAAAGGTTTAAACGACAAACTGTGGAGAGAGTGAAGGGGAAAAAAAGATTATTTTATGGTTAAGAAAACCAAACAAACTCCTTATCCTTGTATTGTGTGACTGTTTACAGCTTCATCTTTGTTCTTAATGGATCAAACTGGTCAAAAAAGTCAGGACAAACCAAGAAAACCGCTTCATTTCTGGCCTTTTGTTGAATGAAAAACATGGAGTCGTGGAGACAAATGGCAGCGTTTTCTACGTTTTTTTTTTCCTCCTGCGTTGTTGTCTTTTTAAGCTCAGGCTGGATTTTTTCTTGTTTTTATCACTTTTACAATTCTTCCTGTTTTGGTTTTTAAAAAAATCCAAGTCCAAGTTCTTTCAAACAGCCTGATTTACTGTCAAAGACTCATCCTGCATTTGCATGACTATTTTTTTTTTTTTTTTTTTTTGTCGCAAAAGTCAAATCAGCGATAAATATTTGTTTTTAAATTTTTTTTTTTTAAATTCCAATTTAGCGTAATTTTACCAAATTTGGCAGCTTTGAAACTGCCCGCGTATTTTTATCCTCTCAGAAATATTTATAAAAATACAAAATTAAAAAAAAAAGCACTCTTCGCTGTTCATTCAAAGTAAAAAATAATGGGATTTTTCTTCTGTTGTTACTTCATTGATGACTTCGTCAAAACCAAAACCCACTCTCAGTGTCTGTGAGAGAGAATCTAAACGCTGCCTGTCACCTGCTGACGGTCTCTTTTTACCAGAAGTGTGTGGAATCATTCTTCATAATTACAGACAGACTCCATATTATTTGTAATGAGATCTGATTTATTGAATCACACTGCCAGGCTGTGTTACAATACACCACACACACACACACACACACACACATACTGTCCAATATTTTAATATTTAATTATACACCATTTGAAGCTTTGATTAAAGCTGAGCACTTCCTCCAATGAAGACTCTTATAAATTAATGAATAATGGAGAAGGAATTAATGCGAGGACTGATGGATCAGATATGAATCACTGTGTGAAAACTTGGTCTAAAACTGTTTGATTATGATGACGTAAATACACACAGGTTTTTAGGTTCTGTTTGTCAGTTGTCGCCGCATTTGAATATGTAAAAAAAAAAAATCTAAACCACGACTCTTGACAGTCACACTGTGGACAAAGCTGTGTGGGAAAAAAATAATTTTTTTTTTTTTTTTTTTTTTTTTTTTTTTATTTTTAATTTTAAGCTTTTTTTTCATTGTTCAGTGGTTGACGATTAAAAGTCGGTCAGTGTTGAGTTGTCGCGGAAGTTAAGTATAAAATAAAATAACGATTTGAATATTTTTTAGAGCTATTTCAGATTTAAATAACGTATAACGTTCTGTCTATTAATTTTTAAAAAGTAACAATGGCTTTTGGCAGTGACTTTTTTTTTTTTGAATTTTTTTGAATTTTGAAATTGAACTCATAATACTTAATATATAATATGAATGTAACAAATATAAACAATTAAAATATTCACAACGTAATTTCAAATACTACCTGAATTTTTAAATTAAATTTAGATTAGAGTGAAAAAAATATCTCTCTAATGAATCAGAAATGTATATAAAAAAATAATTAAAAATACCAGTAAGAGGAGGCTGACAGCCCAGGACTACTGACCTAGGAGTTCTGTTCTGTATGTGTGACAGACACCGATCAACAGGAAACAACAGTCCGGTCTGAGGCACTGAGTGGGTGAGAAAGTGGGTGAGAAAGTGGGTGGGTGGTCTGTGGAGCGGCAGTGAAAACAGTCTCGGTCAGAACATGTAAGAGTCACATCCAGAGAAAACAACGATGTCGGAACAACAAGGTCTGACTGAACTGTGTGTGTGTGTGTGTGTGTGTGTGTGTGTGTTCTCCAAAAGTAATAAGAATATTTATTTAAAAATGTCGCCCTCAACTCCCTCCACTGAACAAAAGATTTATGTCTGTTTCTTGTTGTGTGGTTTGGACGAAAGAGAAGAAAACACACACACACACACACAAACACACATGAAGCTGCCGCTGAAAAGCAACCAGACTCTGTATCTGTGTGTGTGTGTGTGTGTGTGTGTGTGTGTGGATCACATGGACTAATTGTATTATGATCCTGACATGCAGCACTTGGCCCTCGCCGGGTGAAGCTGACAAAGGTTAAGTCAGCAGACTCAATCAGGGCCTCAGCTCAGGGTGAAGACCCCCTCTGTCCTCCCCCCTCTGTCCT